GTTGTGGTGGGCGCCTGTAGTCCCAGCTACTTGGGAAGCTAAGGCATGAGAATCGCGTAAGCCCAAGAGTTGGAGGCTGCTGTGAGCTGTGACACCACCCCACTCTACCGAGGGTGACATAGTGAGACTCTGACTCAAAAAATAAAATAAAATAAAAAACAGGAAAAAGAAAAAGTAAAACACAGAATATACTTACTGTGCTTTGAACTTTTCAAAAATAATTTAACCAATCTTTAAAAATTTTCACAGTATACCTAAGATCCTTTCATCGTACACCAGTGTAAAAATCACCTGTCTAAGGAATTATGGCAGCAGAATTGTTCATAGCTGCAACTTAAAACAAGAAAAACCAATATACCATTCTGCCTACAATCTTGAGTCATCTCTCTTTAGTCCATTTCTATTGTCACTACCTAAGTTCATGGCACTGGTGTCTCCTGCTTAATTTACCGCAAAGCCTAACTGGTTTCCCTGCCTCAGTCTTGTCTGTTCCCCATCACATCCATTCTCTATGCTATATCCAAGAATAATCTTTCTAAAGTATCAAGCTATCCGTGTTATTTCCCCCACTTAAAACCCAGTGGTTCACACCTGTAATCCTAACACTCTGGAAAGTGGAGGCAGGTGGACTGCCTGAGCTCATGAGTTCAAGACCAGCCTGAGCTAGAGCGAGACCCTGTTTCTAAAAGTAGCTGGGCATTGTGGTGGGCGCCCTCCCAGCTACTCAGAAGGCTGAGACAAGAGAGATCACTTGAGCCCAAGAATTTGAGGTTGCTGTGAGCTATGATGCCATGCACTCTACCAAGGGTGACAAAGTGAGACTCTCTCAAAAAGGAAAAAAAAACCAATAAACAACAACAACAAAAAACCTCAATAGCTCTCCACTGTCCTTACACTATCATCCAAATCCCCTAGCATGGCATATGACTCCCCTGGCTTTTCCTCCAGTCTTATCTCTCAATAAACCCTCCACCTCAAATTCTACTTTTTGGCCATACTGAACTTGCAGGTTTACAAACAGATGATACTGTCTAGACACCCTACACTTTCCCTAGGCTGCTGCCTCCCTCAGCCTAGATCAGTGATTTTCAACCAGTGTGCCATGAAAAATTTTAAAGATTATTTCTAAAAGAAGTTCAAAGCACAGTAAGCATATTCTTTTTTACTCTTTTCTTTTGATCAATGTAATTTAAGTGTGCCACGGAAGTTTAACTATAAGTTCAAGTGTGCCATGAGAAAAAAAAGCTTGAAAACACTGGCCTAGATTGTACTCCCAAGATTAACTCCATCAGGCCCTGCACAATACCTCCTTGAATCGGACAGGAACCTTTCCTCATGTTTTCACAGTAATAGGCGCTTGTTTGTCTCATAGCACTAATAGTGGATTACAACTGTCTTTTCATTGTTTGCCTCCTCTATCCCTATCCAGAATAACTTCCTCATGAGGAGAGCCTCAGATTTAGCCATTATGTCTCCTATGAACAACCTGAGGCTGCTTCCCTAAAATACCAATCCCTTGAAGAAGCCCTCAAAATCTATTCCATGTCTTCATTATATCAATGAAGAAACTGAAGCTCTAAAAGGTGGAGCAAATCAATGAAGTCACCTGATTCGGGGCTGAGTTGGGTATGGAAGTTGGATTTCCAGATTCCAAAGCCCTACAATCTTTTTCTCCCGAATTCTTCTGTCTTTTTCCTATGTAATGCCCACTAGACTCTTGCCTTTAGCTAGAAAAGTAAACACACATCTTTATAAGAAAGAAGATACCAGTTTCCCTTGCTTTCCTGGGGGGCATCATTAGAAAAAAACTATCCATGTTTTAGTGCTCAATTTGGGGTAAGGACAGCTAAAGGGACCATGCAGGATAAAAGCGGCATTTCCTCAACTAATCCAACAGAGGGCAGCAACAACCAATAAAGTAAATCCAGCATATTACAGACAAAATCATCTGAGAACCCAGATGATCTGGGTTAAACAGCAAGCTTAATTATTGAAATGGAAACCTGCTGCTACAGTATATTGAGGGTGTGTTGTTTACTTAATAATACTACATGTGTTTTTCTTATGGATGCTATGTATACTGTGTTTGTAAACAGTTTGTTCAGTTGTCATTTTTTAATTGTGTCATTACTAGTTTTGGGGATTCTCTGAAATGAAGAACTTGTTCCTAGATCATGAGAAGAAAAAAGAACTAAAAATAGTGGAGTCCAGGAAGATAAATGCTACTACTGAAGCTGTACTTATGCCTTACGGCTCAGAAACATCCAAGATTTTTTATGAATTCTCTAATCATCCTACCTACCTCTCAACGTTTCTACTTTTTTTTTTATTAAATCACAGCAGTGTACATTAATACTATCATGGGGTACAGTGTTTCTATATACAATTTGAAATACTTTCATCCAACTGGTTAACATAGCCTTCATGTCTTTTTCTTAGTTAGTGTGTTAAGACATTTTTATTCTACATTTAGAGAGATTCACATGTACCCTCATAGGATGAACCATAGGCATGACCATTCTCCACGCTTGCTATCAATTCTCTTATGCCTTTAAGCCAGTCTTTTACTGTCCTAGCTTGGTTGTGCTAAACACCTCACTTCCTGTCCTCCACTAAACACTACCATTAAAACCACTAATGACAAATATAGATACTGATAGAAGGAAAAATATGGAATGAAATTTTTTTAATATCAAAATACGGCTTATGAATACAAAATAATAGCAATTTTGAGGTAAAAGATGGCAAAACAAACCAAAGCATCTAATTTCTCCCCTTCTTGAAATCCCACTAAATCTAAAGAAAGGGATTTTTAGAAAGAAAGGAATAATGAAGGGAAAGATCCTCCAAAATTGGGAAGAACAAGAAAAAAGCAACTACAACCAAATTGTGAAG